ACCCTCACAGCCAACGTAAGTTCTTGGATACAAAAAGTTTAATTTGATAGAAATTTCTAAAAATCAAAAAGCCACGAATAGAAACAGAGTTTGGGGGAGAAAATAAGAGGTTCTAAAAATTCTGGGAGTTTGAAGTAACATCAGCACAGAATGTGTCCTGGGCCAGCGAAGGTGATTTGATTGTAGCCAGCTGGGTGGTTCTCTGTCAACAAAAAGGGTGCTAGGAGGAGCCTGCTCTCAGCTCATGGGAGTTAGGAAAATGGAGAGTCGGGGGTGAATGCAGGCAGACAGTATCCAGCGTTGTTCGGCCGTAGGGAAACACAGAGACTGGTGTAAAGGGAAATTCCAGTCTCTGAAGAGCTGAAGTCTGTTGAGGAGAGAACCCAATACCCTGGGGAAGCCGTCCCCAGACAGTGCCTTGAAGCACCATTCTCCTGCCAATGGTCTAATTCTATGCCCACCCACAACCTCCTGTTGCTTTATTTGGCCTCCCAAGGACAGTAACACCAGAAGAGTAATCAGCATAAGGAGTACTGGCATGGCATCTCCAGGAAAGATGGCCCCTCTCTTTGCATTGCAAATTAATCAACTTAGTACTTGAGTTCTTCCAATAGTCTCTTGTGCATTTCATTGCCAAGAATCCCTTCCCTTGGGTTCAAAAAAAATGTGATGGAATTTGGTTTTGGATTTACAAGGTACCAGGAATGGAGGTCTGATCTGAGGCAAGTTTTCCAAGCCAGCTTGTCAGCTTCATTTTTCTCTTTAAAACTTAGGAGAGACTCACTGTGTGTGAACCTGGGAACAGAATGAACTGACCCATAAGAAATGCAATTGGCCCAAAGATGAAGACTCTGTCTTTATAAATTCCTAATGTTCAGTCCTGCATGGTTTGGGGTGGAATGGGGACAATTAGAGATTTCAGTTCACAGAGTTTGAGATGCCAGAACAGCCAAATGAGGCTGGGAATTCCCTAGGTCTAATGTTAACCATCACCTATTTCCACCACGGAGGCTTCAGGCCAACCCATCCTGACCATCCCAGGGTGGGTTGTCCCATCTCATAGCACGCTCAAAGATGTCCCTCTACACCAAAGAGGACACCAATGGGCTGCCCCAAGCTAGACAAAAGACAGACACTGCAACCTGTTTTTTTCTCTTTGGGCCTCTGTCCTGGAACCACTGACCAACCACAGGTGACAGATAAGCCACCTGGTAAGCACCTGGTCATAAGGACACAAGCATGTAGGTCAGTGATGGCAAACCTTTTGAGCTCGGCGTGTCAGCATTTTGAAAACCCTAACTTAACTCTGGTGCCGTGTCACATATAGAAATTTTTTGATATTTGCAACCATAGTAAAACAAAGACTTATATTTTTGATATTTCTTTTATATATTTAAATGCCATTTAACAAAGAAAAATCAACCAAAAAAATGAGTTCGCCTGTCACCTCTGACACGCGTGTCATAGGTTCGCCATCACTGATGTAGGTGAAGGGGCAGTTGTGACTAGTAATTGCACCAGCACAGTGAAGTTATTGGCCAAGGATATACCTTCATGGAAAATATACATCTCATTTCAAAAGCCCTATTTCTTTTAATAAAACTTAAGTCAATTTGGGTTTTGTGGCATCTATTTGCTTTTATCCAAGCATGAGAAGTTGGAGTCAAGCATTTACACTAATCAAGGCATCTGAATGATGTCCTTCATTATCAACGGGCCAAGTGCCATATGAGTTTGAAGTGACTTCCTTCACCAGCAACATCCCAACTACAAACCTATGATACAACAATTTTAGGAGAAACCTCAGTGGAATTTTGCAACATGAAAGAGGAAAGAAAGAAGAGATGCCAGGTTAGCAGTGTCTCCTGTTATGTAACCTGAATTTTCCATTAGACCCTGCTGGTGCATGCCCTATATCAGGGGTCAGCAAACTACAGCCCAGGGGCCCAACCCAGCACGCTGCCTGCTTTGGGAATTAGTTTTATTGGAAATAACCATGCCTATTTTTTATTGACTGTGGCTGTTTCCATGCTACAATGGCAGAGTTGAGTAGTTATAACGGAGGCTGTACAGCCTGTAATTGGGCCTTTTATAGAAAACGTTTGCCAACCTCTGCCCTCTAGCTATCTCCTAGGCCCACCCCAGAGGTCACCTATAGACAGTGTTGTACATGCCAAGGAGCTCTCTCCCTACCAGGTGTTCTCTGGCTGCAGAGATGCGCCAGACCTGGTGTGCTACAGGCAGAAGTGACAGGGGATCAATGCCCCAGGGCCACCTCACCTGAGGAAGGGAGGGAGCTGGTGCAGAAAGATCCCAGCTTCCTGGCCTCCTGTTGAGGCCATTTGAAGATGTGCTACCTGGTCTCTTCAGTCCCCAGGGGGGATGGAACCCCAGTTGCCCAAAGCAGTGGCAGCAGGTTAATGCTGCCTGTGTTGGCGCCTCCCTTTCCTGTCTCATGCCCCTTCTTGGGAGACAGAAACTCCAGCAGGGATGTTAACAGAGAGAACTGAATATAAAGCACCCTCAGCTGAGTCATATAACAAAATATTAACTGCTTAATTAGGAAGGCAAAAGAGAATTCAACTCTCACAAGGACCACGCAGTCTAACACAGGCAGGAGCCAGGGGCTTGCTGGGGAGTGGCACCACGCGCCTGACTCGCCCTCCCTGCCCATGGGTGCAGAGTGAGTGCACATGGCAGGCCCCTGGAAGACACAGACCTCTGTGGAGGGACTCAACTGGCTGGTGATCATCAGAGGAGGTGATCATGGTTCTGCAAATGTTGGAAAAACTGAAAACTGAATCCAGCAGCTGCTGCAGGAAGTGCTGCCCCCGCCAGGGTGATGGAGTGCTGCTGGGGCGATGGGAACAAGCAGGATGGAGCAGGTCCCTTCTCCCTCTTGATGGGAAATCAAACTCGAGACCCATTAGTGGGAGGGTCAATGCTCTAACCCGTGAGCTACACTGGCCGGGCATCCATTTTTTATTATCAATTGAATATAAAAATGACCTTTCTTCCCAAAAAGATACCCTTGCCTTTTAAAATAAGAATATTAACTGAACACTTAGTCCAAAAAAAAAAAGACTTTATGGGGAAAACAAAAAGGTTTTCAGTGGTTTATGCTACATAAAACCTATATACTGGCCCAAATTCCTAGTACATTCTGGGCACTAGCTAATGGTTTCCATCATTCTCTCTTAAGCTTTTAAATCATAAATATTTTTAAACTGTGCAATGGAGTAGGTTCTCCATTCATCTTTTAGAAAGAACAACACAAAAGCACTTTTCTTTATTGAAATCAAAACCTCAAATAAGTTCAGAACAAGGTTTTTTAAAGCTCTAAATAGAAAGCTGACTCCATTTAATATTCTTTCTATTATCCATAACAAGGAAATAAGAGAATGTAACTTATGACTCCATCAATTTTCTTGTAAGGGTGTGTGGTTGTCTTGCCAGATGCTTTTGTTCAGGCAGATGCGCTAATCCGTGTGAGCATGTTTACTCTGTGTTTTGTATTTTGGAGCACCTACACAGGGAAGGGGGACTTTCTTAATCAGTACAAATAAAAAATCACTTTGGGACTGTTAGGAGAAAAATAGATGCCTAGAGGCAACATAAAAATTTCTGTGAAGTTTCTAGTTTAAAGTAGGTACCTGTGTATACATGTGCATGTATGTGTGCATGTGTGCACAAGATAATGCACACACAGGTATGTTACAGCTTATTATACTACAGTGACTATTAATAAATCTGCAAGCCTCCCCTTGTCAGCATAGCACACTGTTCTGGCACATAGTATACACTCAACAAATGCTTGTTGGACGAATTAACTCCTAAACAAGAAACTATGAGGTGACATTTGATTTGGCTTTTTGAAACCTGACCTACGGCAGACGGCATTGGTGTCCCACTTATATCCCCATGACCTTTACCATTTCCATGTACTTCCATGTTAATGCCCCGGGAGCAGCCCTCCCCACTGGCTGATAGGAGGTGGTGGATGAAAACCCTGCTCCCTCGCCCCTAAGGCAGGATAACTCTGTGCACATGTTCTAGTCCATCTCCCAGAGTCCCTGGAGGGGGGGCGGGGATTGAGCTCCAGCTGCCCACAGTGCTAACCAGCCTGGCAGCACACCTCTTAGTGGCTGCCTCTATGCCTGTCTCTCTCTCCACTGCCCTACTGGTGCTTCCTGAGATCACATCCCTAAAACACTACATTCAGCCGTGGCCCACATGGCTTGGTTGGTTGGAATGTCAGCCCATAAACCAGTGGTTCTCAACCTTCTGGCCCTTTAAATACAGTTCCTCATGTTGTGATCCAACCGTAAGTTTATTTTCGTTGCTACTTCATAACTGTAATGTTGCTACTGTTATGAATCGTAATGTAAATATCTGATATGCAGGATGGTCTTAGGCGACCCCTGTGAAAGGGTCGTTCGACCGCCAAAGGGGTCACGACCCACAGGTTGAGAACCGCTGCCATAAACCAAAAGGTGATGGGTTTGATTCCTGGTCAGGGCACATACCCAGGCTGCAGGTTCGGTCCCCAGTAGGGGTGGGTATAGAGGCAACCAATGGATGTTTCTCTCTCACATTGATGTTTCTCTTTCTCTCTAAAAAAAAAAAAAAAAAAAAAATTAATTTTTTTTTAAATTATAAAAAAAAAAAAGAAAGAAAGAAACTACATTTAAAGCCTTGCTTTGGGATCAGCTTCTGGGGGAACCCAAACTAAGACAGATACCTTTAATCATTTTACTCTAACAAAACACTCCTCCATGTGAGCTTGTGCTTGTGCTTGAAATGCAATGGAAATGAGCCAAGGCCATCAACCAGCATTTCCTGTGTGAAATCTGGACACTCTACCAAGTCTCAAAGCACCACTACGAAGGGCATGTCTCTCTCCTAAACAACCACGGTTTGGTGACCATTTAACAGAGTGTGTCCTCCGTGTGGCTGAGGCACCTACATTCCCAAGGCCCCTGTTAATTAGACAAACAAGGTGCAAGCAAAACAAACCTTTTTAATTAGGCTTCCTTGGCAATGCCAGACAGGCCAACTAAAGTCTAATCCAAACAGGAACCCCTACTCTTTATCATTTGTTCTACCCATCAAAGCACAACCCTACAGTGGCCCCGGGGCATTCCTCCAGAGCCTAGAGGTTGTGAGAGCCCTTGTCTCCCAGTTTCTTCTTGTTTGCCTTTGTCTTTCCAATCACGGTCTCCACAATAACAGCGGTTTCTTCATATGTCTGAATGCTCTCAGTTGAAAACTTCTCCGTGGATTCCATCACTTCCACCCTCTCATAAGCCATGGTCCCGGGAGAGCTCCTCGCCTTCAGGCTGCCACTCCTCTTCCCCTGCCCCTCAGACCCACCCTGACTGGCCCCAGGCCTTTGGGGCGGGGGTGCAGCCGGACCCTGTGGACCAGGTGTGACCACGAGACAGGGCCTCTTGGGCCCTTCATCCTCCTTCTGGCCATCCTGCCTCTCCCCCGGACCTTTCAGTTCTTCGGTATCTCCCTCATCCTCCTTGCCTGCAGTATGCTGGCTGGGTGGGTATACACCTTCCCTCCCCTGCGGATATCCCTGTCCATTCTCCCGAGGGGGTGGGGGCTGCTCAGGAGAGGGCTCCATAGCACGATCCCGATGCAGAGAGCCGTCCTCAGTGGAAACAACCACTCCACCCCTGGCTGGGATAGACACAGAACAGAACTCAGGGTCCACGTAACTGGCATCCCCGGAGACCAGCACGTACCGCCCTTTGGGGTAGAGGTCAACTGGGGGCTCAGGCTCCTCGGGGCTTCTCACTTTCTCCTTGACCATCTTGCAGAGTTTTCCAAAGGCTTTGCTTATCTGCCCTCCATCTGGCATGTCCTCTGGACCTCCTTCTAGGGTTGGGGGACTAGCTTCCTCACCCCCCGACTCAAGCTTAGATTCCCCTTCTTTAACTACCACCTGCACCAGCTTTGTGTCTTCCAGGCCTTTCAGCGGTGTGTCTTCCAAATTTTCATCTCCTCTGTCTTTAGCTATAATCTCCTTTTTCCTTGGAATGGTCTTAGGGAGGCCTTTTTGTCTTGGTTTTGCTGTTGTTATATCCTGCACAGCTCTGGCAAAATCTTAAAAATAAAATTAAAAAGTAAATGGGCAACAAATCAAATATAACTGTCAATGAAAGAGGAAGAAAATGCATTCATTGAAAATTATGCTATCTGTTTTAGAGACCAATGCCTAGCGCTGGGGTGGGTTTACTATTTATGGGGCAAATCAACGGGGAAAGAGGTCTAGATCTGCAGCATCCATGGCCCATGTTAAGGACCCTCCAATGGTGCAACTTTATACAAGTCACTTGACCCCTCTGGGCTTGCAGAGGGAAGACACTGCTATTCTGACTCTCACAGTTCCCATCCCACTGGGTACAACTTACTGAGATGCACAATTCTATTGCAATAACACTTGATAGGAGCAACACCTCCTGTCCCACCTGCTGAGCTCATAGCAGCTACTTGGATCCATAGACTAGATGAAGGAAATCCATTCCACAAAGTCATTCCCACCTTGGACTTCCCCAAAGGAGAGTGGGCAGCGCTGCTTGGGCCTCTGACATGGGCAGAGTGGCTTCAGGCATGGGAATCGTATGACTCCACAAGGTTGCTCCCTTGTTGCACGTGCATCCCAAGCTAAGTAAACATGACCACCCTTTGATCAGCATCCCCTTCCTGCTGGGTGAGGGGAAGCGATGCTAATTAAACTCAGAACTCAAAGGAATCCCCTGTTCCCGAGGCCATATTTATTTCTTCAGACTAGCTAAAAGGAAAAACTAAAACTTTAAGAAAACACACAAAATATAACCCTGCCTCATCCGTGAGGCTTTTCTGCTTCACTCACATGGTGATTTTTTTAACCTTTTCATCCCAAAGGACTTTTGCATCCCCTCCCTCTGTTAACCAGAGGGCTAAGCAAGGGCATCTAGCATGACCCACGGTGTAAGAGCGGAGTGCCAGGAAAGGCCATGGAGCCATAAGGAAGGAGGGGAGGCAGAGAGGGGCATGTCAAAGGAACCAGTGGGGAGCAGATATGCAAGAAGGGGGTGCTTGCAGAACCAGTTACAAGCACCCAGTTTCAGAGCCCAGTGCAAAAGAAAAGGGCAGTTCCCCCTGTGCGAAATGATTAAGAACGTAGAGCCCTAGCTGGTTTGGCTCAATGGATAGAGCGTCAGCCAGAGGAAGGAAGGGTCCCTGTTTGATTCTGGTCAAGGGCACATACCTCAGTTGTAGGTGGGAAGCAACCAATCGATGTGTCTCTCTCACATCAATGTTTCTCTCTGTGTCTCTTCCCCTCCCTTCTACTGTCCCTAAAAAATCAATGAAAAAATATCCTTGGGTGAGAAAAAAAAAAAAAAAAGAACAAACAGAAAAACAATGTCAAGACACTGATAGCAGAGCATAAGCGCAGTACAGGGTCCCTCGTGCATGGGCCACAGCCCTGGGGCTGGCCCTGGGTGTTTGGTGATTGGGACCTGCTGCCCCTTCCAACAGTGTTCTGACCCCAGAACCCCATTTCCACAAACCCCTCTAAGCTGTCCGAGACACGGGAGTTTGAAGGGGATGTGACGTTACCATCTTCTCTTCTCCCAAAACTCTATTTGCTCGTCCAGGACGGGGGAGGGTTAGCTGAGAGGTGACCTCTCACAGGCGTAAGAAACCTTCCCCAAAGGACCGAATGTTGAAGGCAGAAGCCATGCTTGCCAACCAATCTACTTCTTCTCAGTTGTGAAGAGAAGAAAAAATGAGCAATAATTGAGCATGTTCTCTACTCCAGACACTTTTGTATAGAATAGTTCATTTAATTAGGGTGGGAAGGGTGCGATTCAATACTCAGAATATTGAATTGTATCCCCCCATTAAATATGTCTCCAAAGTGGTCTATCCCCCAGTCTGATTTTTCTCCTGTGACCTTTCTGGCTCAGTCCCTTAGCACCTGTGGGAGTTCATCAGAGAGGGAGAGAAGGAGACCTCCCCTAAAAGAGTTTAATTTCCTGATAGATTAGAAGGAAGTGTGAATGTTAAGTTCAACAATAAAGCCACTTAATTTTTTCCATTTTTTTGAGGGCAGAAGACAGCAGAAGTCAGGGTTGGGGAGCATTACCTTTCCCGCTGGGTCGAGGGCTGAGAGAGGCTCCACGGCCCATGGGGAATAGAGTGACAGGCACTTCAAAGAGGGTGGAGCTCAGCCTGGCAGAAAGACCAGAAAGAGGTAGTCACCATCTCCAATTCATCAAGCCACACAGATGGTCAGGGGGTAAAAGTGACCCACTAATTATGAGCAAAAATAACAAAAGCATTCCCTAGATCAAACTTCTCACGAACCACATAAACATTTGCACACTGGATGAGAATGTAAAGGAAATAATCATTGCTTTGAGCTCAAGTCACAAACCGTGAAACACAGAAACATTGTAAAGTGGAAATTGCTTATAATCTCACAATGCCACTACTATGTTGAACAGGGGTTTTTTGTTGTTGTTTGGGGAGTTTTTTGTTAATATATTTTTATTGATTTGAGAGAGGAAGAAAGAGGGAGAGATAGAAACACCGATGACGAGAGAGAATCGTTGATTGGCTGCCTCCTGCATGCCCCACACTGGGGATCGAGCCCACAATCCGAGCACATGCCCTGTCCGGGAATCGAACCATGCTGTCCTGGTTCATAAGTCGATGCTCAATCACTGAGCCATGTCAGCTGGGCAGTTGTTGTTTTGTTTTTTAATAAAACAATGCCCATCCCAGGCTGAAGTATTTAGGGTTACCAGGGTTTAATATCTCCAATTTGTTATTTTTAAAATAATATGCCATATATATATATATATATATATATATAGAGAGAGAGAGAGAGAGAGAGAGAGAGAGAGAGAGAGAGAGGAAAAAAGCAGTTGAGACAAAACATAACCAACTGGTGAATCCGTGTAAAAAGCATTCAGGAGTTGCTTGTTCAATGCTTATAACATTTCTATCAATTTGAAATTAGTATATTAAGACTTATTTTCATAAATGTGTGCATAAAATGTTCACTGTGACATAAATATAATTTGGAATTATGCATGATACATTGACCGTAACGAGAGGGAAAAAATCTTACTTTCCCTGTTAAACACCTAAGTAATTGCTGCTAAGACAGAGCACTCAGAGAAAAGAAAGAACTGCTCTTTGTGGGATACTTCTGGGCGCTTCTATTTTAATTCAATCTAAACCTCAAATAGCAGCAAGAATGAATCAAAGAATCACAACTAAATAGAGAATCAGAATCCTTATATGAAGCAGTGGTCTCCAATCTGCTTTCCGATGATAAAATTTGATATGAATATCCATACAGCCATAGATGTAGATGTAGCTATAGATAAAGATACAGATAACACAGATGTAGGGGTAAGTTAGGAGTGGGTAGAGATGATATTGATGTAGTTGTAAGTGTAAGTATAGATGTATATAATGTATATAATATAAATATAGGTATGGATATAGATGATATACCAGTAAATGTAGATGTAGGTGTAGGTATAAGTATAGACTTAGATGGTGTGATTGTAGACGATATAGATGATACAGATAATACAGATGTAGATAATGTAGTGTGTAGTTGTAGATAAAATAAATGTAGGTAAAAGTATAGATGATATATACTGTATGTAGATTGTGCACATGTAAGTTTAAGTGTAGGCATAGATATAGATGATATAGGTAGAGATGTAGATGATGTAGGTAATGTAGATGTAGGCGTAGATGTGCACATACATGTAGATGGTGTAGATACAGATGTAAATGTAGATGTAGGTTTAAGTGTGGACATAGATGATGTAGAACAGAAGATGTAGATTTAGGTCAGGTAAAGGTGTAGATGTAGATGAGATAGAGACAGAGACTGAGATTTATTTCCCAGCTTGAAGTGAGTGGCGCTCAAGTCACAGCTCCATTACAAACAAGACCAGCTAGCATATTGATGGCCACCTTAAGACCCAACCAGGTGGTACAAATCATGCTGGCAGTAGCAGTAATAACACCAATCACTCGAAGTACTTGTGGTACCAGGCACTGTGCTAGGAACCTCACCTGCAGCATCTCCTTAAATACTCCTGATCATTCCATCTGCTAAGACAGTTATGTCCCCAGAGGCCCGTGGAGCAAATAGTAGCCTTCTCCATGAGGCCTTTTCTGACTGCCCAACTCAAAATTTGAAGCATTCCCACCATCAGCCTCATCTCCATTCCCCTCTTCCCTGCTATAATCTTCTCCACAGCACTTGTCAGAGGTCATACTCCCTCTGTTACACAGTCATTCATCATCTGCCACCACCACTAGGATTCAAGGCCCATGAGATCATGGAATTTTGTGTTTCACTCCCTGCCACCTGCCCACTGCCTAGAGCTGGCACACAGAATGCACTCAACAAGGATCTGTGGAATGAGTGAGTGAGCAGCATGGAGAGACAGGCACTCCCTCACTGTCCCTCTGTGACCACACCTGCTGCCTTCGTTCTCAATGATCCGATGATAGCGGTGCAGCTCGTTCTTCAGGGTTTGCTGGGCGACCACCAGCTGCCGGCAGTCATAGGAAGACTTCTCCAGGCTCCTCTCAGTCTCTTCAATCTCCTTCCGCAGGGTTTCAATCTGTTCATTATAAAGCTGAATCTCGTCATCGTAACACTCATGGGCGTCCTTAATAGCTTGTTCCAGGGTCGCTGTCTGTGGGCAAAGACACAGTTGTAAGGAAACCCATCCCATCCTCTCCCTTAAGACCCAGACTTGACAGGGAAAATCTGGACTCAGCATGTCAAGTTTTGTTTATTTCTCATCAGCGATGGAATCATTTTGGAATCCTTAAGCCCAAGAGGAATGTGAAAACTGAGCTCCCTCTCCTCACACCTGCACAGCACCCACTGAAGTCAGCCCTCTACGTAGCCCCCCCAAAGGCAGTCTGAAGATGACAACCTCAGGAAATAAGAAGACTGCTGTCCATGGAATAAAATGTACAACTCAAATAAAGGATAATCTTCATACTTTAATGCATTGGCATAAATCTGATAGCCAAAAAATAAGTAAAAAGAACAGATACTAAACAGATAAGATGCCAATTTTACTGAAATAATTCAGGGGGGAGAGTGTGCCGTTGTTCTTATTTAGTCACTATGGTGCTTTAACTTTCCCCTGATTATATGTTTTGGTAGCCAAAATGTGTGTGCATGTGTGCACGTGTGTTTGCATGTGTGTGCACATTCGTGTCTACATAAAATAACTTCAGGGAAATACTATTTACATATTAATTCAAGGGAAGTCAAAATTAAGGTGGGAAAATAGAAAAAGTGGCCTTATATTCACTTTTAGAGCTTCTGACATTGTACAAAGAGCCATTTACAAAACCAGAAACAGATTCAGTGGTTGCCAGCGGCAAGCAGGAGGTGGGGAAGGGGTTGACCACAGCTGAGGGAATTTTGGGTGAGGGAACTGTCCTAAATCTTGATTGTGGGTGGGTTATTGCATACACATGTCAAACAGGCGTACTGTGCACTGAAGATGGTGACACTATATGTAAAGATCACCTCAGTTTAAAAAATTATGAGACCCTTGGAAACGTGATCCCTCACTGGACACTTAGTGATATTATAGGATTGTTATTAATTTTAAAGGTGGGTTAATGGTCTTGCATTCTATAAAAATAACCTCCACCTGCTGGACATGTATGTTGAGATATTGCTGGGTAAGATGACATGGTGTTGGGACTGCTTCAGAATTCCACCAGGGGGCATGGGAGGAAGGATGGAGACCTGGGGTCCTGAGACTGTCCTCTCACTTTTATCTGTTTGAAGAGTTCAGAACAAAGAGTAAAAGAAAAGACTGTGTATGAAGAGACCTATCGCCCCCTTTGGGTAGGGGTTCCCCACCCTGGAGTGAGACAGTAATGACTGTGTTGGTGAGTTCTAATGTGGATCAACTCATCAGCCTCACAACCTTAGGCTGTTGTTATTCCCACTTTACAGATGAGGAAACTGAGGCACACAGGCAGTGACTTGCCCACAGATACCACAGCAGGATTCAGACCCACCTGTGCAGGCTGAGACACTTTCAGGAACTAAGGACCCTGCTGCCTCAGCCTCCTCCCAACTGTAGACAAACTGTGCACACTCATGCGTACGCGCACGCGCACGCGCACACACACACACACTCCCAGGCCCAGGGAAAACTCCCCATTTCCACAGATGGACAGGCAAGTATCAGCCTACTCTTACAGAAGACACAAGACACAGGGGACTCGGTGTGAGCCCCATCAGCAACCACCCCCCCCAAGTGTGTTCTCACTAGGAAAATGTCATCTGTATTCTTTGGACCTCCAGGGCAAGCATGATCTTTCTTATATCTCATGAGTTGGTGGGTGGTTGGTGGCTGTCCTGTGGTAGAGTCTGTGGGAGGACCACCTACCTGCCCAGGGCAGGAGGCTCCGTGGATGAGTCGCAACCTATGACTGGCACTGATGCTCCATGTGGTTCTGCCTGAGAAACCAAGATTCCAAAGTCCAGTGAAATGCTGACCAGGTTTATAAAACTGGACTTATATCCACATCTATGTGGCCCTTACAGCTCAATCATTTAAACTATTCATCAAAGGAGGGGTGTTCAGGAAAAATAATAAGAGGCCCACCTTCACCAGCTCCAAGAGGCTCACGCGATGTCTCTGGGTGAGCTACCTCAGCACAGGCGTAGGGCGCTGTCCAGCACCAGCCTGGCTGTCGGAGAACTAGACACAGACCCTCTGTCTAGGAGCCCACAGTTCCGTGGGGAAGGCAGCCTGGTCACAAAGACATGCCCCGGGCACCACGGAGCACACAGAGAGGCCCTCTGGTGCTAAAGGGTGACAGAGAAGACTTCCAGGGGATAGTGGGACAGGTCCTGAAGAGAAAAGGGACTCCCAGAAAGAGAAGTGATGAGCAAAGGGGCAGGTGCCAGGAGCCACAGGACCACAGGAGAAGAGACAGCAGCCCACAGCCAGTCCAGGGCTTCTTGGAGGAAAGCAGCCAAGTGGACAGTGGAGAGAGGCAGGCGGAAGGTGTGTGCCATGCGGCAACTTGAACTTCCTGAGCTTGGCAGTAAAGGTTGAATGAAAGAGTAAGTGTTCAAGCACAGCTGTGGGCTTGCCTTTGCACAGCAGGGATAGATAGGGACCCAGGACAATGCCTCACAGTGAACCCCATCTGAAGGGTGACCTCCTGCTTCAGTCCTCTTAGGCCCCCAGACTCCTTTGGATCCAAGGGGTCTTTTTTAAAAAGGAAATGGCCTTGGCCGGGTGGCTCAGTTGGGTGGAGCATCATCCCATGCACCAAAAGGTTGTGGGTTCAATTCCTGGTCAGGGGCGCGTACAGGGTGCAACTGACAGATGTTTCTCTCTCTTCCTTCCTCTATCTCTCTTTCTTTCTCTCCCTTCCTTTCTCTAAAAATCAATAAAATCATATCCTTGGTAAAGATTTTTTTTTTTTAAAGGAAACAAGAAATCAAGTCTTTCACTGACTACACAGTCTTACCCAAACCTACCACCAGGTGGTGCTAAGTGACTTCAATGAGAATATCATAATTGTTGGTAGCTTTACACTTTCCAATACATTTTTTCACTTTCCTGTCACAGAAATTCTCAGTCAATGCAATTTAGGCAACCTCCTATAAGAAGTGCCACCCCCAAAGGGATGGGTGCTGTGTCTCTCATCCTGTGGATTAGTATCCTGGAACTTGAGCCTGTGGAAACACCTGGAGGGCCTGTTGGAACAAAGCTTGCTGATTCGGTAGGTCCAGGATGGGTTCATGAGTGTGCAGGTCTGTCAAGTTCCCAGGTGCTGCTGATGCTGCTGGTTCAGAGACCTTCCCTGTAGGCCCCTGCTATGGAGGGTTCTGGAAGCATCAGATGTCCTAAGCACGGGCAGAACCAGCTGCCACAGCCCTGCCCAGCTGGAGCCCTCAAGCCACAAGGGGCTCTTCCTCCTCTATCCCCCACCAAGTCCCACAGTCATAGCTGGCCTCAGTTTAGCTACTACTTTGTACAGCCACTAAAACCTTTTAAAATCAGCAAAAAGCCAACCATCAACACCTCCTGAATAAGGCTGTGAAGGACCCGAGCCAGGGACTCAGGTGGACCAAATGTAGAACATTCTGACACAACCTGGTACCCACCTTACCCCAGCGTGGTTCCTAGACTGGCAGCAGCACCTGGGAACCTAGAAATGCAAATTCTTGGGCCATACCTACTGAGTCAGAAACTCTTGGGTAGGCCCAGCCACATCTGTATTTTAATACAAGCTAACTAAGCAAAACTCCAGTCCCCGTGGCCTTTGCCCCTTGGTGTTACACTCATGAATGTGTTCGTTACATGTTGACAGGGACTCTGCAGCTATAATTAAGGTTCTTAATCAGTTGACCTTAAAAAATACAAAGATTATTCTAGTTATTTCTAATCACGTGAGACCTTAAAAGCAGACGTCAGAATAAGATGCACAAGAAAGATTCGCAGCACCATGGCTGGCTTTGAACATGGAGGGGGCCACAACCAAGGAATGCGGGTGGCCTCTAGAACAGTGATGGTGAACCTTTTGAGCTCTGCGTGTCAGCATTTTGAAAAACCCTAACTTAACTCTGGTGCCGTGTCACATATAGAAATTTTTTTATATTTGCAACCATAGTAAAACAAAGACTTATATTTTTGATATTTATTTTATATATTTAAATGCCATTTAACAAAGAAAATCAACCAAAAAAATGAGTTCGCGTGTCACCTCTGACACGCGTGTCATAGGTTCGCCATCACTGCTCTAGAACAACTTCTAGCCAACAGCCAGCAAAGAAACAGGGTCCTCGGGCCCACAGGCACACAGAATTGAATTCTGCCAACACCTTGATTGACACTGGGAGCAATTCTCCCCCGGAGCTTCCAGATGAGGGTACCCAGGCAGGCCAACATCTTTATTTCAGCCTGTGAGACCCAGAACCAGCCTGCCCAGACTTCTGACCTCCAGGACTGTGAGATAAAGGAGTGCTGTTTGAGCCCCTGCTTCTGTGGTAATTCATTGTGGCAGAAAGAGAAAACTAACACAACTTGTGTTTCATCAGACTTACTGCTATAGTTTGTTACAGCAGTCGCCCCCTGATCCGAGGGGGATATGACCCAGGACCCCTAGTGGATGCCTGAAACCGAAGATAGTACCGAACTTTCATCTTTTTCCAGTTAAAGGAAGCACTTTACAGCTTCTCTTTGGCATATACGAATTGCCAGCATCACTACTCTTGTGCTTTGGGGCCATTATTAAGTAAAAGAATGGTTACTTGAACACTGTGATACCACAACAGTGGATCTGATAACCCCAGATGACTACTAGATGACTAACAGGCAGAAAACTTATATAGTGTGGAAACGCTGGACAAAGGAATGATTCACACCCTGGGTGGGAGGGAGAGGGACAGCACAGGATTTCATCATATTACTCAGAAACGCACTCAATTTAAAATTAATGGGTTGTTGATTTCTGGAATTTTCCATTTAATATTTTCAGACCACAGTTGACCGTAGATAACTGAAATCATGGAAAGTGAAACCACAGTTAAGGGAGACTAGTATATATAATATAAACACACATATTATTATATAGGATATGCTTTGGTAATATTTTGATAATTGTTTCAATATCATTGGTTTCTTCTTCATTATATGTACTTTATTGTATGTATATATATTTAACATTTTTCTGAGGGAGGGTCCATGGGCTTTTATTATATAGGATACACACACTTCTATATATACATATATACATGTACATATTACACATATGAACACATACACACACACAAAATACACACACACACACCTGCCGTCTACCCTCTCAGGGCCTCAGAGGAAGCCAAACACTACCAAGTTACCAAAGCGTGTACCATGGAAACAGGATGGAGCTTTTCTGTTGAGTTTAGTTTTCAAAATAAGATGTAGCCCCCAAAAGTGGGGGTGGAATTGAGAGTTTTCCACTAAGAAATTCTAAGCAGGGCAAATACTCTTTCCCACGTTTGTAATCCAAAGGAGCAATTTGCAGTCATGAGGAGAGAAACAGGAAGCACACATTTGAGGAAGTGTAGAATAAAAATCCCAACATGTGTCCATTTCTTCTTATTTTTAAAAACAATTTAAGTTTAAACTAGGCAACCCCGGGCACATAGGCATGTTGAGTTTGTTAGAATCACTGAACTGGATACGTGTGCACTCCTCTGCATGCACCTGACACTGAATAAACGTGTTGTTAACCCTGGTTCACACAGGTGGCTGAATGCCCCACAGGAAGCAGTAGACAAGAGGACCCAGGGCCTACCTGGGCCTGCAGCTCGGCTCTCTGCGCCTGCAGGAGAGACAGGACCTCCCGGCCCTCCTCCAGCTGACTCTGAAGGGCTGTGGCCTCTCGTTCCATCAGGAGTTTCTCCTGCAAAGAAGGCCAGACTCAGCACTCACACACGCTTGGTGTACCAAGGAATCCAAAAAGGAAAGGGACAAGGAAGGCATGGGACCCCGTTATGTTCTGCATGTTTGTCCCCCCTCTTACAAATCCATATGCTGAAGCCCTAACCCGCCATGGGATGGCATCTGGAGGTGGGACCTTTGGGAGGTCATTATTTAAGTGAGGTTATGAGGGTGGGGTCCCCAGGATGGAATTAGTGTCCTTATAAGAAAAGACACCAGAGCTTGTCCTCTCTTTGTGCTGCATCCTAAAAAGACAATGTGAGGGCACGCAGGAGGGTGACATATGCAAGCCAGAAAGTGAGTTTGCACCAGGAACCAAACCTGCCAGCCCCATGATCTTGGACTTGAAGCCTCCAGGACTGTGAAAAATACATGCCTGTTGTTTGAGTCATCCAGTCTGTCTCCAACATCTGAGCCATTAATGCTGTGAGGGCAAGTAAAGTGCAGAGACAGTGTCGGGAGACCTGTACTTTAGAGCCAGTTGTGCCACAAACTGGATAAGAGATTCTGGACAAGGCCTCTTCCCTTCTGTCTAAAGGAAAACTTGGAAGGCAGTTTCTCATTGGGTTCTACTCTCTGTGTCTGTGCAGCCAGCCGGGTCAGTAGGACCCCTGAGCCATCAACTCTGCTAAGACATGGCTGCTTCACAAAGCAGAGGTCAAGGGCACAAGGGAAGCCAGGGACATGGTGAGGCAGCTGCACCACCTATCAGTGCTCCACGGAACGTCCTGGAGATCTCGCAACCTCTCCACTCTCTGCAGAACAGGCACCCGTTTCCAACACGCCTCTCCACTGTGTATTGGGAAGCGTCCAAATCACTTCACGAGAGCCTGGCTGGTCAAGAGCAGTGCCTTCTGACGCAGGGCATGTGGCCTCACAGCCAGGCAAAATCAGAAACAAGCATTTTCCCAGAGCACCCATGTTCAAGGCCACAGGCTTAAGGCAGCCCCCTGCTCTCCAACACCCTGCAAAGTGGCTGGAGCAACCACACAGGCAGAGAGACAGCTAGAGCAAGATAGACATGCTTAAAGGGAGGAAGTGAGAGTGTGGCCCTGTGGCCTGACCCCACGGGGAAGGCAGGACTTGAGATGTAACTGCACAAGAACCTTCTCCCGGTGTGCAGTTCTGTTTCTGGATGCATGAAGGAATGCATGCTCTCAGTGGCTCTCAGTTTGTTTGTCTCTGTCATCTTTGTTTCTCTGTGTCTCAGTCCCCACCTCTCCACCTCAAAGATGCAGACAAGAGGGTGGCTGGGAGCAGAAGGGGCCACATGCCCATGTGTACCAGAAATGGAGGACATATACCACACTGCGAACTCTAGACCTGCAGCCTCGGAATGGAGAGACTGCCTCCCTCCAGCACCCTGCTCGCTTGTCTGGCTCCACCTTCCTCATCTCACATCCCTCCCCACACCTGCCTACAGGGTGCCACTCACATAGTTGGCCCTTGGATACTTATTAAAGAGGAAGGAAGACAGCCCTGCAGCTGTCACTAGTAGCTGGCACTAACTGCCGGGCTGTGATGCTCCCTACCATCCTATATAAAAAAAGCCTAATATGCTGTGTCCAGTCACCCATTCAACCAATCAAAGTGTAATATTCTAATGATATGCTAAGGAAGCGGTTCTCAACCTGTGGGTCGCGACCCCTTTGGGGTTCGAACGACCCTTTCACAGGGGTCGCCTAAGACCATCGGAAAACACATATATAATTACATATTGTTTTTGTGATTAATCACTATGCTTTAATTATGTTCAATTTGTAACAATGAAATTGGGGGTCACCACAACATGAGGAACTGTATTAAAGGGTCGCAGCATTAGGAAGGTTGAGAACCACTGTGCTAAGGCCACTCAACTGCTCGCTAAGCCGTGCACTGACCACCAGGGGGCAGACGCTCCAATCAGTAGGTTAGCTTGCTGCTGGGGTCCGGCCGATTGGGACTGAGTGAGACAGGTTGGACATGCCCTGGAGCCCTCCCGCAGTCTCTCCCTGGCTGGCCAACCTCCCGCATCCCTCCCCGGCCCCAATCGTGCACCAGTGGGGTCCCTCAGTGGATGTCGGAGAGCCTGTGCCCTCTCAAAATCTGGGACCCCTCGGGGGATGTGGGAGAGCCAGGTTCGGCCCAATCCTGCAGGCCAGGCCAAGGGACCCCACTGGTGCACGAATTTGTGCATTGGGCCTCTAGTAAACTTATAAACAATGCCACTCCCAATATCTAAAGATGTCACTCTGGGACCAGGGGGGAACCAGACAGAAACAAGACCCTCTGAAACTGTGCCTGAGCTCAGACCAAAAGACCTCTGTGCAACCACAGAAATGGCCAACCATCCACTCTCCCTGATAACACAAGTGATGCTGCTGAATTGCCAGGTACAGCTTTAGCCACACTCTATTTCTCTGCCCCCTTGAGAGAAATGATCAAGATACTCAGCCATAGGACCAGCCCCTTATGAGAGCACCCAGCCCAGAGCAGGGCCCTGCCTACCTGACCCTCCCCCACAGATACCCTGCAAGTCCCCACCGTGTACACCCTCCCTTCCTGCAGTGAAAAATGAACTCAGCTTTATGTGACTACAGGTGTGAACCCAGTGGCCTCTGGTGAGAGGGCACTGATATGATGCTTACTGGCATGTTAACCAGTTGACCTGTGTTCCTGTAATTATAAGAACCGCTAATTACACCCTTATTTGAGCAAATGTGGCAGACATGTTTTTTAAGACATTAACAAGAATCAATGAAACAAACCTGAAAGTGACCATTTAACTCATCTGTAGAGCTTTTAAGCTAAGATTAGTAAAGAATGTGGTATCTGTGTTTCTCCATCTTTAACATGCACATGGATCCCTGGAGATCTTGCTAAAATGGAGATTTTTATGCAAATTCTGCATTTCTAACAAGTTCCTGGCGATGCTAATGATCCACTAATGATCATTGATGCTCTCAGAGTAAGTCCAGACAGTCTCTATAATCTTACAACTCAGAAGAATTCTGTTACAGGGAAAAGAAGATATGATTTTAAAAGCCGGTGTGGCTCAGTGGTTGAGCATTGACCTATGAACCAGAAGGTTACGGTTTGATTCCCAGTCAGGGCACATGCCCAGATTTCAAGCTCGATCCTCCAGTGTGGGGTGTGCAGGAGGCAGCTAGAGAGTTAAGTGGAGAAGGAATGTGGAATATTATTGGGAATAATGTTTTACATCCAAATCCCCATTTTTTAAGAGTCATCTTCATTCATTTCTATCCTTGCCTAATCGTTTTTAAGCCACTAACTTGCAGAGCCGGATCTTGAAAATATAGTCACTAATTACCTGAATCTCTCTGTATTCAAATTTTATTGTCAAATTCATATGAGGAATAAGAAAACCCAATCTAAAAATGAGCAAAAGATTTGAGTAGATATTCCAACAAAGAAAATGTACAGATGGCAAATAAGGACGTGAAAAGATGTTCACCATCATTAGTCCTTAGGTGAGGCAGGTAGAACCACAGTGAGATGCACAACATTCCTATTCGAAGAGCAACAAACAAAAGCAAATAAACACCTGACATGCCCAGTGCAGCCAAGATCCAAAGCAACACAAACTCCCAAACACTGCCGGTGAGGATGCAGAAAGGCTGCAGGGCATTGGAAACAGTCTGCCAGTTTCTATAAACTATACAAGGAAGAACAGCCCATGATTTTCAAGAGAAAACTCCTAAGAAAACGGTCAGGGAAACAATTTATATCCTCAGATGTCTAAAGAGCAGCGTTCACAGACTGAGAAGGAGAACAAGAGTAAACTTCACATGTGAACACAAAGCCGAGTGGGGAGGAGCTAACCCACCGCAGCAGCTCCGCGCAGTCTGTCCGCCTGACACCTTTCCCCTTTCCGGGGGGGTGTGAACTAGGCCCAAGGTGCTGTAACAAGGACCTCCAGATGCGCTTTCCTGCAGCCTGGGCCCCAGCTCTTACCTCCCTCGTCCCATCTGTAATGGCGGCTGCTTGAGGAGTGGTTTGGATGATCTGCTGCAGGAGGCTGGTGTAGGTCTGAATTTCCAGAAGATTCTGTCAGAGGAAAGACAACATTCTCATTAAAACCTGAGCTGCCCGAGTTTCTTCCTCCGGGACCAGGTGACCCCGGGGATGAAGGCTTCCTCATAGTCCTCTGTCACAAAGAGCACATGCCACGATCTTCACATCTCCAATCTTCACAGGATCAACGGGCCGATGGATAACAGGCTCGGTTTGCTTCATTCCCCATCAGCTACGTGCATGCTTTGCTGCTGTCTTCACAGGGCCCCCTCCGGGACCAGGTGACCCCGGGATGAAGGCTTCCTCATAGTCCACTGTCACAAAGAGCACAGGCCACGATCTTTACATCTCCAATCTTCACAGGATCAACGGGCCAATGGATAACAGGCTCGGTTTGCTTCATTCCCCATCAGCTATGTGCATGCTTTGCTGCTGTCTTCACAGGGCCCTGCAGACAGGGCTAAGGGGGGAAGCAGAGGAGGACCAAGCCCCAGAGCGTACAAAGGGCCCTTTCTGACCCCAGAGCTGGGCACTGCTTCAAAGGACAGAATTTGGTCGTGGGTCCCAGACAAAATCACTTGCTAGCTGCGTGTGGCCGCGGGCAAGCTATTAATAGCTCCTAAAACTCAGGCTCTTCTATAAAAGTGGGATCACAAGCTGAAGAGCACTGTGCCCAGCTCCGTGCGTGAGGACTGATGACACGTCTCACAGCTGTGCCCCCTCCAGGCAATGGTTATCTTGTCCAGGAAGGAGCTCAACTCCTCCCAATCCAGTCCCACCCAACCCAGGCCAGTGACTAGATGGCACAGGAGTAGAAAAAACCAGCCCTCTTACCTCAGGTGGGAACAGCCTAGTGGGGTGAGACTCATGACCCAGAGCCCCCAACCCAGAGGTGGGATCAGACTGAGGCTCCAGCTGAACCGGGGCCAGCCCAGTTCCCACCCCTATGCTCCGCTTCCTCCCTCCCTTTCTCCTAGGTCAGCCGTGGGCAAACTACGGCCCGCGGGCCGGATCCGGCCGTTTGAAATGAATAAAACTAAAAAAAAAAAAAGACCGTACCCTTTTATGTAATGATGTTTACTTTGAATTTATATTAGTTCACACAAACACTCCATCCATGCTTTTGTTCCGGCCCTCCAGTCCAGTTTAAGAACCCATTGTGGCCCTCGTCAGGGGTATGCAAGAGGCAGCTGATCGATGTTTCTCTCTCATCGATGTTTCTAACTCTCTATCCCTCTCCCTTCCTCTCTGTAAAAAATCAATAAATATATATTTTTTTTAAAATCACCACCTTAGGCTCTGCTGACAGGGAGCCTGACCTAAGACACTATCTTAAGAGGCTGTTGTTGGGATCCAATGAGATAATGCACAGAAGTGTCATAGTGTGAGCGTTCACCATTATTATTATTATCATTATTATTACTAGAGGCCTGGTGCACAAAATTTGTGCACTGGGGGTGGGGGTTCCCCTCCGCCCAGCCTGCACCCTCTCACAGTCCAGGAGCCCTAGGGGATGTCTGACTGATGAAGCGGGCCTAAGCCATCAGTTGGACATCCTTAGTGCTGCCACGGAGGCAGTAGAGACTCCTGCCACTGCCACTGCCACTGCACTCTCCAGCCATTAGCCCAGCTTCTGGCTGAGCAGTGCTCCCTCTGTGGGAGCGCACTGACCACCAAGGGGCAGCTCCTGCATTGAGCGTCCACCCCTAGTAGTCAGTGCGTGTCATAGCAACCGGTCGTTCCACCGTGGGGCCGAAACCGGCTCTCCAACATCCCCAAGGGGTCCCAGATTGCGAGGGTGTGCAGGCCAGGCAGAGGGACCCCACCAGTGCACAATTGGGGCCAGGGAGGGAAGAGATGTGGGAGGTTTGCCAGCCAGGGAGGGACCGTGGGAGGGCTCCAGGGCATGTCTGGCCCGTCTCACTCAGTCCCGATCAACTGGACCCCAGCAGCATGCTAACCTACTGGTCAGAGCATATGCCCCCTGGTGGTCAGTGCACATCATAGTGAGCGGTTGAGCGGCCTTAGCATATCATTAGCATGTTACACTTTGATTAGTTGAACAGCCAACCAGACAACCAGACACTTAGCATATTAGGCTTTTATTATATAGAATTATTGTAAATTGCCTTGAAGAATGTTTTGAGCTGCTTAGAAACTGCCCCCAGGTACTGCTCCCAGGATTCCAGAAAAGTACAGCAGAGTCAGGAGGGCAGGAGAAGAGGAGGAACCAGGCTGGGCCTGATGGAAAGTTGGAGGAAGCCAACGGGAGGGAACATCCCTTCAGTGCACAGCAGCAGGACTGCCTTTGTGATGAAGCAGGTACACACTGAGGCAGGAAGAGGATCTAATGCTTGCTGAGCACTGGCCAAGGTCCAGGTTACACCAGGTGCTTCACCTGCATTATCATGGAGCCTCAGTTTGGGTTTCCCCAGAAGAAGACTATTATACATTGAATGTTGTGTCCCTCCCAATTCACATGTGGAAGTCCTCACCCCCAGTAAGATGGTATCTGGAGGTTGGGCCTTTGAGAAATAATTAGATTTAGATGTGGTCATAAGGGTGGGGCCCTGGGGTGGGATTGGTGCCCTCATAAGAAGAGGCTTGAGAGCTGGTTCTCTCTTTCTCTCTCTCTCTTCAAGCACATGCTCCTGGGAAGGGCCAGGTGAGCACACAGGGAGAAGACAGGAAGAGGGCCCTCACCAGAATCTTACCAGGCTGGCCCCCTAATCTTGGTGTCCCAGCCTCCAGAACTGTGAGAAATAAATTTCTGTTGTTTATAAGACACCCGATCTGTGGTATTTTTTTATAGCAACTCAAGCTGACATCAACAGATCCTAAGAAAACGGTCTGAGTGCAGCCCCACCAGCGTGGCCCAGTGGTTGAGAACTGACCGATGAACCAGGAGGTTATGGTTTGATTCCCGGTCAGGGCACATGCCCAGGTTTCACGCTCGATCCCCCAATGTGGGGTGTGCAGGGGGCAGCCGATGAATGATTCTCTCTCATCATTGAAGATTCTATCTCTCCCACTCCCTTTCTCTGAAATCAATAAAAATATATTTTTTAAAAAGAAAGAAAACGGTCTGAGTGCAAATAGTTTACTCAGACAAAGATGCCAGAAAATGTAAGTAGTAGAGTGAGGAGGTGAGATAGGAAGGGCAAGGCAGCCAAAAAGGGGTGTTTTACCAGGTAAGTTACCACTATGAGCACTGGGAGCTGAGGCCCAGTGGGGATCTCTGGAGGCCGGTGCAGAACAGCAGGTAAGAGATAGCTGGGGACATATCCAGCAACTCACATCCATCACTGGCTAAGGCTGCTCCAGGGCATTCATTTCCCAACACTTCCCACGAGGCAGAGCAGCTCTTGCTGCCGGTAGAAAGTAGGGAGGCAGGGCTGCCGCTATTGGCAGTTAGAGGGAGGCCAGAGCTCACTGCAGAGGTCAGCCCACAGGGTCATGGCCACAGGTCAGCTACACGGAGTAAACCACACAGCCTTGTAGGAAGGAGAGTCCATTACTGTCATGTTTTTTTGTTTTGTTTTTTCGTTGTTGTTTTCCTCATCCAAGGATATGTCTCCACTGACTTTTAGAGTGGAAGGGAGAGAAACATCGATATGAGAGAGATACACCAATTGGTTGCCTCCCGCACTCACCTGGACCAGGTCCAGGAATCAAGCCTGTAACAGAGGTAGGGGCCCTTGACCAGAATCAAATCCGGGACCCTTCAGTCCTCAGGCCGATGCTCTATCCACGGAACCAAATCCACTAGGGCTGTCATTTGCATTTTAAAGATAAAAAAGCTCAGAGAGGTTAGGCTACTTGTCCATGATCACACAGCTCCAGGATTTGATTTTTCCAGTTCATCAAGGCCCCCCCAAAGTCGGGCCTTTAAGAAGCTGGTGGGTTAGGGGGCAGAGAAGAGCATTACATGAGAGGAGGCCCCTGAATGCCTCGATTAATTGGCTCAGAAGAAGAGTTAAAACATATATATTGCATTTTCTGAGCTGAAACAATTTATAGGCTGTAGTTTATCCAAGACATATCTATGTAAAATCTCTCTGTGAACTGTAATGTACTAGTTCCCAACACCCCAACCAACACACACACACACACTTTTGCCTCCTCCTCTACACATGTCTGGCTCACTAAGAACTGTCTAGCAACCAACCCATCTCCCACTTGATTCTGGAGCAATGCACACAAAAGTAACCCAGTCTAGCAGTCTCACTTTTCAGCCACGAGTGCCCTGGACTTCCTGGGAGAAGAGCATCAGAAGGGCTGTGGTTACCTTTTTGTACCTGTCCTTTGCTGCACTGATATCGTCCTGCAGAAACTGGGCCTCAATCTGAAGGTGCAGATTGCGCAGTAAGGCTTCATCAGCTTCCTGCAATGAGAGAGCATCACACATCCGACTCTGTGGGGCACAGAGATGGGTGTGGAATTGGCCAGGTGCGTGTACCCACAGACCCCTTGGAGTTTTACTACAACGCAGATTGTTGTTTGTGGGTCTGGGAGGGGTCTACGATTCTGCATTTCTAGCAAGGCATTGAGTTAGCCCAGTGGTCGGCAAACTCATTAGTCAACAGAACCAAATATAAATAGTACAAGGATTGATATTTCTTTTGAGAGCCAAATTTTTTAAACTTAAACTATATAGGTAGGTACATTGTTATTAACTCAATTAGGATACTCCTAAGGCTTAGGAAGAGCCACACTCAAGGGGCCAAAGAGCCGCGTGTGGCTCACGAGCCGCAGTTTGCCGACCACAGGGTTAGCCCATTGGACCTGGTCTGGAATAGCTAATATGTGTACACATTCAAGTTCTCAATGGGAGTGATTTTCACCCTCAAGGGGACATTTGGCAATGTCTGAAGACATTTTATTGTCGCCACTTGGGTGGTGGGATGTTACTACTGGCATCTAGTGGGTAGAGGCCAGGGATGCTGCTAAATATCCTACATACACAGGACAGCCCCACACAACAATCATCTAGTCCAAAATGGCATTAGTGCCGGGGCTGAAAAACCTTGATCCAGACAGATCAAAGACAATGTTAGGGTATATTTACCAACCAACAACCTTAAAATTTAAGTTACACCTATATTTGTCCTATATCTCATCATCAGTGAGTTAAGTTTCTAAGACTAAGAAATAGTTTTCGCTTAACACTGAAACCTTCAATTTAACCATTTCTCCCAAGGTCTGTTGCTCACCTCCCTGAGGCTACATATCCCTAATGCAGCATGCATTTTACAATGACTGCTGTGGTGAGCGGCATTCATTCCTTTAAAGTTGGAAATAACATTTATGACAGGAGGTTGAATGTTCTCACCAAACTTTTTGAGAATTCACCGATTTTTCTCTCATTGATCTTGTTTAAATGAACCAACTAGGTTGAAGAGCTGTTTGGGCTCTTAATGAGATAGTGCCATGACAACTGGAATTGACTTAAACACTTCAGTTGTCCAGTGCAACATTACAGGTGAACATTACCTGGACTCCTCAAGACATCTCGGCCATGCACGCCTGCCAATACCTGGGGCCTCGCTAAGTGAATTTTTACTGACTTATTAATGACTTGTTAAAAAAGCATGATGCATGTCAGCAATGGGCTCTCATTAATAAAGGAAGATGTGTGGTTTGGCTAAAATATTTAAGACACTCTCCACTCTTGCATGAACAGGGTTAAGAGAGTCAGGTATGTGGACTGGTTAAGACAGTGGTTGGCAAACTCATTAGTCAACAGAGCCAAATATCAGCAGTACAACAATTGAAATTTCTTTTGAGAGCCAAATTTTTTAAACTTAAACTATATAGGTAGGTACATTGTTATTAACTTAATTAGGGTACTCCTAAGGCTTAGGAAGAGCCACACTCAAGGGGCCAAAGAGCCGCATGTGGCTCGAGAGCCGCAGTTTGCTGACCACGGGGATAAGATATTCTGAGACACTCCCACCATTGCACTAATGGGCTTAGGTTCTGGGAAGGCCTCTGGTCTGCTCTCTTAGGAAAGACCCCTGGTTCCTTAATTGTTCCTGTAAAAGACCACTGGAGAAGGAAGATATGAGAATGTCTGGTGCTGACAATAAGGATACCAGGATTCTGACCCTGTTGGATTACCTGCCTTGAATGAATTTTTCATGCAAAGTGTTGCCTTAGTTCCTAAAACATCAGAGAGCCAGGACTTCATGGAACCTAGAAAACAGGTTGTATGAACTTTTGGGGGTCTGCAGCAAAATAAATGTTACTAAGAAATATATGTCAACAATAAAAAATAAACTTAAAAAAAAGAAAGAAAGAAATAGACTGGCCAGCATGGCTCAGTGGCTGAGCATCAATCTATGAACCAGGAGGTCGTGGTTTGATTCCTGGTCAGGGCACATGCTGGGTTGCAAGCTCAATCCCCAGTAGGAGCCATGCAGGAGGCAGCTGATCAATGACTGTCTCTCATCATTGGATGTTTCTACCTCTCTCCCTCTCCCTTCCTCTCTGAAATCAATAAAAATATTTTTAGAAAAGAAAAGAAAAGAAAGAAAACAAAAGAAAATAAAAGAAAAGAAAAGGAAAGGAAAGAAAAGAAAAGAAAAAGAAAAGAAAAAAGAAAAGAAAAGAAAAGAAAAGAAAAGAAAAGAAAAGAAAAGAAAAGAAATGAAAATATATGCCTTGTGTGAATCTGGTCTGAAATGTCGCAAGATTGTAGGGGAGTGGCCAACCCTCAACCAACTCAAACTTCTGAAGCTATTTTATCTACAAAAAACCAACCTTTTAGTTTATCTTAAAGAACTAAAGAGTTCTACAAGATCAGATCAGTTAATTAGCAATCATTAGCAATGTATCTTAAAGCATTCCTTTTTGCATAGACTTATGCAAGTAAACACTAAGTTATTCCAATACAGCAAGCCTCAGGCATGATTTTAAAGTCTTTCTAGTAGCCCTATTAAATAAAATAAAAATAAATGGGTAAAAGTAATTTTAACATTTTCTTTCACCAAATATACTCCAGATATTGTCATTTCATCATGTAACCAATATTTTTAAAAGTTATTAATGATAGTTTACATGCTTCCCCTTAGGCTAGGTCTTTGAAACCTGGTGTATATTTTATACTTATAACACATTGCAATTTTTTTTTACAGAAATGCCATTTTATTTCCAATTTTTATTTTATATCCAGCAGGTTTGTTGTCGAAAATGCTTATGAGCTCTGATTGCTTATGTGTATATTCTCTTAGATTTTCTATGTAGAAAATTAGATTTTGAACAATGATAACTTTATTATTTCCTTAACTATCCTTATACATTTAATTTATTTTTCTTAACATTTTGAATAACTCATGACATCAATATAATGTTGGATAAAAACATAGAGCAGTTATGCTTGTCTTGTTCCTGATTTGAAAGACAATATTTTAGTTTTTCAGCATTGGTTATGATGTTTGCTCTGCATCTGGGATAAATATCTATTATGAAATTAAGAGAAATCTCATTTATTCCTAGTTTGCTAACAGTGTTTAGAAAATTTGAATAACACATTGCAATTTGAGTCATCTGCATTTCAGTTGCTCCCAGCCATGCCTAGCCAGTGACTCCCAGGCTGGACGACACAGCTCACCAGAATTAATCTTAGGCACAGTGGAGCATCTCATTCTTCCTCAGTGAGTCCTCCTGGTTTCTGCTCCAAGGTGAATCCCCTAGTCTCTCTATACACTAATTTCCTCATCCCTAATTCTTTCCTCTGAAGACTCTGAAATCCCTTGCTTTGTATCAGGAACACCAACAGTGGGTGACAAGACAGAAGGAAGGAAGGACCACAGACCCGAGCCTTTCTGTGGCAAGTATAGGCAGGAGTAGGGTCTTTGGGTCCATGGCTCATTCTCCACCTCCCAAAGACAACCAGGGAATCTGTCTCCCAGGAGACAGACACAAAGCCAGTGTCTCTGGGTAAAGATGGCCCCTTCACACTTGATATTGGTGCCCCATCCATCTCCCCTGGTGTGGGGAGGCATGGGACTTGGTTGGAAAGTCTGTAAGGAGGATCTCTGAAAGGTCGGAGGCCTCTAGGGGACCTTGCTGAAGGTGGCAGCCCCTGCCTTGACTTTTTCAAACAAGTCTGACCCCCCGGGGGGTTTTACTAGAATCTTTATGTTTAGACTTCAAAACGTCCTTGTATGAAAGACACTACAGATACAGGTGCTTTCTCAAGGATACTTACCCTGCAGATTGTATCTTGAGGTTAATTTTAGTTCAAGCTGTGGTTACAATAAAAGCCTAAGGAGGCAGGTGAACAGGGCTGTTTGCTCCTAAAGCAAAACAGTCCCTTAGCCTCTCTTTCACAGAAATGTGTGTCAGAGTAATGTATTCATCCATCACTCAGGGTCTGCCAGTCAGCCAGCCCTGGCACCCTGGGCCACCCCCAAGGTCACACAGATATGCTGAGCACACTGATGGTGTCCTGTATCTCTATGGACTGGAGGCACAGTCCAGAAGTGTGGGTGTTAGCACCCCAGGAGCGACCCTGGGCCACTGAGGGACAGGAGAAAATGAATGAGTCCCTCAGCTGGCCCACCCCCCATAGCAACAGTTCAGAGGTGAGTTCCTCAGTCTCAGAGGGTGAAATGAGAACTCAGCACTCAACTCTTGAGAAGCAGAGAGAAGCCCAAGACAGATTCTAGTCCCCTTGTCTTCTATTAACTTTCATTAACTAGCTGCATGACCCACTGGATCAGTCTGGCCTCAGCCTTCCCATCTGTGGGGCAGACTAGTTTCCAAGCTGCATTTGGCAGAGCCCTCAGGTTCCATGGAGTTGCTTGAAAGGGCTCTGGGGGAGGAGGGCTGCTAGGTGGATGGGGTGCCTGTCCCACCATCATGTCCTTAAAAGAGATCTCTGCTTTGGCTCCATACATTGGCTTCTCTTGAATATTTTGTTTAAAGGATGTGGCTTTAAAAAGTTTGAGAATTGCTGGCCAACGTGGCTTAGTGGTTGAGCGTCGACATATGAACCAGGAGGTCATGGTTCAATTGCCAGTCAGAGCACATGCCCAGGTTTGGGACTCCATCCCCAGTAGGGGGCATGTAGGAGGCAGCCAGTCAATGATTCTCTCTCATCATTAATGTTTCTATCTCTCCCTCTCCCTTCCTCTCTGAAATCAATAAAAATATAAATAAATAAATAGTTTGAGAATCAATAATTTCTAGGGTTCCTCCTATTTCTAAAATTGAGTGTTTGGTCCCTTTATTAGCAATAGCACATAGTCCTTGAAACCCAACTTCCAGTTCTTCAGCTCCAGTAATTGTGTATCAATTATGGATGAATTTTTGGTCTAAATTAAGATGTTTGAGAACTCTGCCCCACCCCAACCTCAACAGTCATTCTTCCCCTACCTCCCTCTTAGGATCATGCCAAAACCACCACTCTTAGGTCCCATCAGCCAGCCCTTTAAAACGCCCAGCCAACATTTGTCCATAAAGGAGAGATTAATCAGGTGCTTCACAAGCACGTTCTCCCCCTTGGAAGACAATCACCTGATAAATTGCCCCAGAAAACTCCCAAAGGTGAGGAGGTGCCACTGGAATATGCAATTGCTGGCATGTTGAGAATTTGTTTGGAAGTGTTTTCTTTTGTTTGTACCGGAACTCAGAAATGTGTAGACGCTTGTGTTTTTATTGTGCTTTGGATTCTGTCAGCTGCCCTTTCCAAAGCTCCCCCAGCAGAAACGTCGAGATGTTTCCGAACAGAGACTCTGGGTCAATAATCTAGTTTTGGGAAGCATTCCAACCCTGATATGGTGTGTGCTTTAGATCTAGGTCAGTGGTTCTCAAAGTGTGGTCCCTGGACCACGCCACCTGAGAAATAACTAGAAATGTTAAATATTTGGCAGATCCCAGACCTACTGGGTGAGAAGGCCTCGGTGCTGGGCCCAGGAATCTGCATTTTAACATGAACTCCAGGTGCTGCCAATGCACACAGACGTTTCAGAGCCACTCACTGATCTGGGCCACTTCTGAGAAAGGCACTGGAAGAATAACTAGAATCTGATGAATCCTTGAGAAATCAGCCTTGCCAACCCCCTCATAGAAGGTCATTAAAAATCCTGCTGTCTGTATCTATACCAAGCACCAAATCCAACCTCTGAGCAGCCTAATTAACACACACACACACACACACACACACACACACACACACACACACACAAAACTGCTAAAGAATGAGCATTCAAGTTCGTTAAGATTTCTAGTTAATTAGGTTTACAAAAAAACAAAAACAAAACAAAAAAACAAAAAAACACCTACTTTGATTCTGGATGTCAAAAAAACATTCCAAAAATTTTTCGGTCACTTTCCTTCCTGGTCCTCAGACTGGCCTGGAGAGAGGGGCTGGGCATGTTGACAACTCTCCATCCTCTCTCTTCCCACTGCCTCATTTCCTGACTCTGCCCTCTCCCCTCCACATTCCTCCTCACTCCTCCTCTTCCCAGCCTCCTCCTAAACTCCCATTTTCCATGGCCACACCCAGGGATGAATCCCTTTACCGAAACAAAAGGAAATGGGCATTGAGACTCAGTTGATAGCCAAAACCTTATTGATCTAATATGTGTACACATTCAAAGATTTGTCAACCAAAATCATTGATATGACCAGCCAACAGGATGTGAATTATACTCTTCCATTTCACCTCCTTCTTCCCACTTGACGATCTTAATGGATAGAGAACCTGAAGGTCCAGCCTTCACCTGCCAGGTTCTCTCTCAAGATCCTGTATCCTGTGGTAGAGGAGTATGTGTTTGGGCGTGTGAGTTCACACAAAGATTTAGTTGAAATTACGAAGTCAAGAAGTAAAGTGACAGCAAAAGAAATAGGTGAACCTTGAAATACCACAAAGAGGAGTGTGGGTAACACTCATCGCAGCCATTTAGTTCAGTCCTGTCATTAATCTACTCAAACCCAAGGATGTGCTCAGCTCACCTTGTTAAGCCGCTGAAGCGTTTCTTTTAGCAGCACTTGACATTCACATTCATTCTCATACCTGCAAATTGCACACATAAGTAAAAGTTGAGCAGCTTCTACGATTCCACAGAGTTGATCACACAATCAGCATTACATTTAATCCGATCTGAGTATTATGCCCTCTCTTTTAGAAGAGGTCCCTAATTTTAAAGCAGAAGCTGATGCTGCCTCTCCAAGCCCACTGCTTCCCAACCTCTTTCACACCCTGCCACACACAGGAAGTGCTGACATGGGCATCGCACCTGGGCTAACTGGGAGCAGTAAATGGCCCAAGAGTCTTCCCGTCTGGAGGCCCAGTCCCAGTCCCCCAGCATGTCCCTCCCAGCCACCAAGGATGAAAGAATGACACCTCAGCACACCTGGAATCCAACAGTGGCACAGAGCCTGGGAATCTGCCCTGCCTGACAACGCCATTGACCTGACCTTGTGTAGATTTCCTACACTCTGGTATTTACCAACATGTGTCGGTGTCTCTGGATTATGCCATTTAACCCTCACAAAACCCTGAAAGAAAGACGTATTCTTACCACTAAAAGGTTCCCCAAAATGTGCCATTCTGGCATGTGAATTATTTTGAGCTAAAGGCAATCAAGACCCTGTGGGCACACAGGAAACTTTTACCTCATCCTTAAAGAATTTAAATGAGGGGCCTTGCACAAAATAAGAGTTGTCACCAGAAATAACGTTTTATGGTCTACCTATAGGGCAGGGCAATCCTTGTGGCATCATCCCTGATACCAAAGACCTGCTCTGAGCCAGTGAGCAGGCTGGATTGGCCAGAGGGTGACCCTGGCAGGAAGGTGAGTGGGTGCATAAACACCCCAGCTCTTTCCCTCAGCTGGGACAAGTGAGGTGTGTTCTCCACCCCACAGGTTAGTCCCAGTTGCCATGGTGGGATCTTGCTGAATAATGCACTCTGTGTTAGCTGTCTTCCCTTTCTGCCTTTCCTCACTCCCCAACCTACAGGCTGGATGGGCCAGAGGGTGACCCCGGCAGGAAGGTGAGTGGGTGCATAAACACCCCAGCTCTTTCCCTCAGCTGGGACAAGTGAGGTGTGTTCTCCACCCCACAGGTTAGTCCCAGTTGCCATGGTGGGATCTTGCTGAATAATGCACTCTGTGTTAGCTGTCTTCCCTTTCTGCCTTTCCTCACTCCCCAACCTGTGCTCCCTGAGGTCACCTCCCAAATAAGCTACTTGCCCTCAAGTCCCTGTCTCAGGCTCCGCTCCTAGGAGACTCCAAACTAAGAGAGGCATGAAATCTAATTAAAACACGGTTGCACAAGTTTTACATTTCACGCCAAGACGTCAACATTTAGCAGTTTCTTTTGTGTGTGGCTGTAATGGAGTCGGAAATTATTTTTTAATGGTTAATTAACTTTGAGAATAAAACTGTTAACAAAAATCTAATTTTCTCATTGCTTTTTCCTGCTAAAAACATCTTAAGAATTTCTATAGCTTAAAAACAGGTTGGATAAACAACATATTAATGTGACTTTCATGCTATAGAAAAGTCTAGATATTATATTAAAGACAACTATCTTCATTATAAAAATTCAAGATAAGAAATTCAAGATATATTTATATATATTCATATAAGTGAATATATAAGTGAATTCATAAAATGAAAATACACTGGCTTTAATTATCCAATTGTTTTATACAACTGTTTTGGTTTTCAGCAGTTTGGATAATTGACTATGTTCACCATTGTATTTTGATGGTTTCATTTGTTTTTATTTCATTTTATTATATTTAGTCTTTGTTTGACATGTGAAAGAACTGATTTTGAAATTATTCAACTATCCAAATAAAAAATATGCCTAACAAGGCTGCATATTCCTTCGCATGCCTGCATTATTTTTATCTGCTTTGGCTAACCATCAAGTCCCCTCTGGAATGTGAAACCAAACTTAGTGTGTGTATACAAATGCATGTGGATGGTTATGATTTTTATAATAATTTTAAACTCCCACTACCCCAGCCAGAATATCAAAACTTCTCCAACAGGGCAATGAGAGGGAATAAATTAAGGGGAATTATTGAAGAAATCACAGAATCTGAAGGAACTGCTCCATGATGCAGACATAACCAGAACCAAGTGAAATCAGGAAAACTCAATATGATCATTTGTTCACTGAGGGCTCAAGGGAGTCACAGTAGACTGTGGTCTATGTGGTGACCATTTGGGGATCAAGGGGATCCTGCTGGCCCATGGAGCTGGGTGTTTGAACCAGCGTACACTTCTCTTTGCTCTAGAGAACATGATCTTCATTTGAATGAGGTCTAGGTCTTATTACTGGACCTCACTCCATAGGAGTCCAAGAGTAACTTCTCTCCAAGACAATGTTCTAGAAAGCATATGGACTCAGGGCAAGAAAACCTGAGTTCAAGTCCTGCCACCCAAGGACCCTCTCCAAGCCTCTGGATCAAAATTAAAAAAAAAAAAAACCACAAACAAATAAAACCCAAGAGGGACTGCCTGTCTGGCGTGGCTCAGTGGTTGAGCATTGACCTATGAACCAGGAGTCACAGTTTGATTCCTGGTCAGGGCACATGTCCATATTAAGGGTTCGACCCCCCAGTAGGGGACATGCAGGAAGCAGCCAATCGATGATTCTCTCTCATCATTGATGTTTCTCTCTCCTCTCTCTCTCTCTCTATTCTCTCTCATTATTGATGTCCCCCCCCCCCTGTCTCTCTGCCTTCCTCTCTGAAACCAATAAAAAATATTTTTAAAAAACCAGAACGACTGATTGAAATGAAATCAATTATTTGACCTGATAAATATGCTCAGTACACAGCAGTGAATAACCTACCCAAGACTCAGACTGAGAATGTGGAACTTAAAAGGTGAACATGGTGGATGATGCCCACAGGTAGGCTAAATAGCCATCTCCTACAGTGATTACAGAAAATTGAATTTATTTAAGGAACACAGTGGGGGGTCATATATCCAAAAGGAAGGGCTGCACAGCACCAAGCCAAGGGGACACTGGGTGGATGATGGCAGCACCCAGGAGCGGGAGTTTCCCTTATATGGGAAGCTTTTGTTGTCAGTGGGTCGGGGGCTGAGCTGGTGAGCTCATAATGGGGTGGGATGCAGGTGTATGATCAGGTGCCTTCAGGACCGTTTTCATCCCTTGTATGGTCTGACTCCTGGTGTCCAACAAGCTTTTCCTGGTTTTTTGTTCTCCTCTGGTGGGAAGCGTGCAAGTGGCTGTTAAGGATTGTATTGCCCTATAGGCCTAACATTTCCCTCCCCTTTCTATTTGTTAATAATTATTTTTAATTGGGGTGAAGGTCTCTATCTTCTGTCAGTCGTCCTAAGGAAGCAAGACCCCCTGGTGCTTGAATAATGCATAAGGGATATATGAATAGTTACCCTACATATCAGAAACCAACCAGCCGGCAGCTTAGTATGTCCATTACTATGAGGGAGGGTGAACTTATCAAAACAATTTATACTGTCGTCAGATACTGAAAGACAATAACTAGAACACCTAGTAAAAGTCCGACATTCGCCCCAGTGTCATTAGCTTGTTTGTGTGTGCTTGTGTCCTCTTTTTCCTTGTGCAAGCAGAAAACCTCTACTCTTCACCCCTTTCTTAAATAAATGCTAATAACACACTATTCTTGTTCTTTTACAATTGCATAGTATCCCATTGTATGAACAAAGCACAACTGTGTAACCTGTCTCCCATTATTAATCAGCATGTAGGTTGGTTCCAGGCTTTTGCCACTGCAGATCCCACCGCAGTGAATATCCTGGTAGGCGTGCCCCTTGACACCTGCTGGGCTATCGTAGTAAATTCCTTGATGGAAATGACTCTGCTCAGTCTAAGAGCACACGCATTTAGAACTTGGAAAAATGTTGACAAATTGCTGAGTATCCTTTTCTTTTTAATAGCTCGTTTTAACACATTGTTCAGTCTGTCGAAAGGTGGAATCATGCCCCGGACCAGGGCTTCTGAAACTTCAGTGTTTAACTTCTTAAACTTCGAACCACTGGGGGGGGGACACCAATGCTGCTGGTCCATGGACCACACCGACTAGCAAGACCCTGGAAGGCACACATTGAAACGATTTCTAGGTGTTGGCTGTGATGCAGTGAAAACCATTACACTCAGCATGTCCATCACTTCAATCCAGTCCCAGGGCAGCAATTCACTAGCCGAGTGACAGTGCTCCAAATCCCTACATTTTCTGAGCCTCAGTCTTCTCATCTGTTAAATGGGTGCAGGCAAATACAATCTATAACTGGCTTTGACGATTAAATAACATGAATGCATTTCAAAAATATTATGGTCAGTCAGCAAAAGAAAGCCAGACACAAGAGTACATCTGTAATATTCCATTTTTGTGAAATTCTAGAACAGGCAAAATTAATCTATGGTGATAGAAATAAAAACCTCTGGTTTTTTGTTGAGAGGGGGGCAAATGATAACTGAAGATTGACTTGGAAAGGGTAGAAGGGGGATTTCTAAGGTAGAGGAAATATTTTGCTTGTTTTGATAGCAACATAGGTATATACATTTGTCAAAACTTACTGAACTGTGTCCTTAAAATCTGTGCATGTTGTTATATGGAAATTATACCTAAATTTTAAAATACCTTAAAAGTAAATGATACCATTTCAAGTAAACTGTGAAGTACCATCAAAAGAGAAGCTAGTCTTATCTTAGGGAAATGGACCATGTGCACCAGCCCCCCCCCCGCCCCCCCACACACACACACAGACACTGTGGTCATGAGGACCGGGACACCAGAGATGGCCCTCCAACCTGGATAGCAGCCTGCTCTCAGATCCCTGCCGCAGGTGCCGCCCCCCGCCCTGCCTCAGTTTCCCCCCACGACCAAGGCTTACTTGCTCCG